TAGAGAAAATTATTGTTTTCCTTTATTTATCCTTTATGTTTGTTTTACTAAGCAGGAATGCAAGCAGATAGCTATTTCATGTTAATTAATAGGTAGCTAGTAATACATACCTACTGAAATTTTCAGGGAATTATTATTTGATGTAGGAGGGTTTTTTAAGCAACTAGTTCCATTCACGCTGTCGATTGTGTACCCTGTGGGGCATAAACAAGTGTGACTTCCAGGTAAATTGGAGCACGTTCCATTAGTGCAGGGATTAATATTTGGCAAGCTGCATTCATCAATATCTAAAAAGAAAATCAGGAAATTCAATCAGTTAAATTTAAAATTAAAAAAAAAACAAATTACATATATAAATTATATATAATATGTAGTAGATATATGTGTGTGGGTAGATGTATCACCTTGGCAACCATTTGGGTGGTAAGGGTTGCCCTCGTAACCTTCCTTGCACTTGCAAATGTAACCAGACCGATTGATGGGGTTGACACACGTGCTATTTCCCTTGCATACATAGTCCTGCCTCTTTTGGGCTTCATCACATGGGTCTTCCTCAACCCCAATTGCCCAATTCAAAATCATTGGAACATTTTCCAAGCTATCAAGTTGTTGAAAAGTTTTATTGGAGAATTTGAACTCGCCTTCTTCAACAATGAAGGCGTAGCTGCAGGGGTTAAAGCCCCATATATCCAAATGGTTGTTGTAGCTTGTCAATTCCACGGTGCGATTTTTCATCCCACTGGGGATGTTCGTTTGGCAGCAGCCAACGCCGGAGCAAGAGTCCTGGTCAACGCTGCCTAGGCTGTCACAAGAGGATATGCACCCCGTTATGTACCTTTCTTCACCACGAAAACCTTTGAAAAGTGCGTACGTATCACAACCAACAGCAATGAACTTGTTTTTGGTATCGGAGATGGTGAAAGGAGGCGGCAGACTGAGCCAAGGGTCGTTGTTATACGTGTTGTTACCCTGCTTGTCGTAACAATCTCGGGCTATGTACTGCAGTACCTGCATCTCAGCCTCATCAAGGGAAAAG